GCCTTGTGGTTACTAGTGAATCTTTGAAAGGGCTTTGAGCTTTTTCTTGCATCAAACTCCAAAAAACAAACTCACTGCTATTGAGCCCATCCCCCATCCCCTAGAGTCCCTATAGGGCAGAGTAGAACTGCCCCTGTGAGTTTCCAAGACTGTTAATGGGAGTAGAAAGCACAATCCTTCTCCTTAGGAGGAGAAGGTGGTGGTTTCAAACTGATGACTTTAGTGATCGTAGCCTAATATGTAATCACTATGTCACCAGGGCTCCTTGCCCTCTGGTAAGGCTAAAGAACATTGCACACCTATTTCAACATCCTCACAAATTCGACTTGAAGGCTCATCTGTAACCTGAGCACCGCCTGCATTTCTGTTACAGCAGCACAAAGAAATGAAGGCAGGCTTACTAACAACCCCTGTAAAAGACTAGAGCTTCCTGGCTCAGGTTCCTCCCTGCAGACTCACGGTGTGCTGCCCAGCACCTGGCCAGCTGTTTTGCATCTCCAAGAGACTTCTTGGACAATAGAACCAATCCACACAAGCAGCCTGTACTGCCTTTTGTACCTGCTGCGCCAGGAGTAGCAAAGCCCTTGGCATCTGACCCAGGAGTCCTGTGCTTCCTGCCGGCAGCAGCCACGACACTATGCATTTGCAAGTAGGGTAACAACCTCAGGCCATCCTCGGCTGACAGTTTGTGTTATTACTGCATCTCCAGTGCCCTGAGTAGCACCTGACGCATAGTAGGTGCTCTGTAAATACTTGCTGAGGCCATTGGTGATGCCTTGGTGGAATTCTCACCTCCCATGTGGGGGGCAGAGGGCAGATCCCCTGCTGGGGGTGCAGCTCGTGCAGTTACCATCCCTCTGTCTGTGGAGGCTGGCATATTGCTATAATGCTGAACGGGTTTCACCAGAGCTTCCAGACAAAGACAGACCAGAAAGAAAAGACCGGGCTGTCCGCTTCTGAAAATCAGCCAATGAAAACCCCAGAGAACACAAGGACACAGTGGCCACTGCGCAACCGACCAAGGGGCTAGTGCAGGACAGGGCAGCTGACCAGTACTTAAGACAAATGACACTTAAAAGCAAGTCAGTGAAAGCAGCTCGCTCGGAATCTTTGGCTGTAACTCATTTCCCCCTCCAGTCTCACTCCTGGATGATTTCTTTAAAACGTGTATTTGATTATATCACAGTTATCTGCTATTGTGGGTAGATGCCATTGAGTTAATTCCAACTCATAACGACCCTGTGCACAACAGAGCAAAACACTGCCCAGTTATCTAGCGGGGCTGATAGAAACCCTGTAAGTGGGTGCCTTTCACAGACAGAAATGTATTCAATGAGAGCTCAGGAAGCTACAAGTGTGAATTCAGGGTGCAGGCTCTGGGAGAAGACTTTCTCTGTGTCAACTCTGGGAATAATCCTCGAGTCTTTTCAACATCTCTAGTTCCAGCATCTCTGGGGGATCTCCATGTGTCTTAGCAGAGTCTAGAAGTTCTCAGTCCAAGGACCTGGGGTCCAAAGGATGTGCTCTGCTCCCTGCCCTTCTTTCTTGGTGGCACTGAGGTCCCTGCTCCTTTGCTTGTTATATCCTTTTACCTTGTGTCAGATAGAAGGTGACGCAGGCCACACCCCAGGGAAACGCTCCCTGCATTGGATCATCGAGGCTGCAACCGGAGTAAGGGTGCTGCCCACCTCACGCCCCCTGATCCCAGTACTACTGATTGGCTGGCTGATTCGATAGCATCTTGGCGTTTGATTACACCATTAGGTAAGTGACAACCATGGCCCTGCCCAAGTGACCCATGTTTTGTGGGGGGCACAACTCAGTCCATAGCAGCAGACGTTAGCCGTCTGGGTTGGAGAACATGTCTCTACTTTCCTTGTGCCCTTCGAAGTCACCCTTCTGTCTGCAAACCGTACCGGGAGTCCTCTGAACTAGTTCAGCTCTGTAAGCCGTTCTCAGGGGAAGGCGCGGAGCTGGGCACACAGCATGCTGACAGCTTCATTCATCATCGCGGCTTCAGCAGGGTCAGAATGGGGCTACAGGAGCCAAGCTACTTTGGCGAGGTCACAGGTGGTCTGTGAGCCGTTCCTCGAGGTTATGTACATGGGAAGGAGAACTACTGTGTGGGCGTTGTCCTTCAATCAGGTGAGGCAGAGTGTGCCCTCCCGGTGTTACACGCCGGGCACCCAAAAGCTGCCGCAGCAGGTGCCAAAGAGGGGCCTAGCGGTACCCCGGGGGCCCGGTGGAGTGGAAATGCTTCCACAGTAATCTTGGGGCCCGAGTCAGGGTCCGAGAAGCGTTCCGCCGCCTAAGCACCCCTCAACCCTTGACCTCGCGGGACCGACCCTGGTCTGGCCCGGACCTCGGCCCGCACTCACCTGGCCGGAGGAAGAAGCCCACCCTCCGTCCTCCGCTAGGAGCCCCGCTGGCTCGGG